AGAGGGCAAGAGTGACAGAAGCTTCAACCTAGCATAGAAATTGATGCATATGGGATTGAAGGGGGACCAATATATCTTAATGCTATGGTTGGGTTTTACCTCAATGAACATTAGTAGTTGCGGATGCTTGCTAATAGTTCCAATCATAAGTGCATAGAATTCCAAGTCAGGGATGACATGCTAGCAGTGGCCTCTCCCACATAATACTTGCTATCGGTCTAGTAAAGTAGTCAATTGCTTAGGGGCAATTCCGCAACTCCTACCACCACTTTTGCACACTCGCTATATTTACTTTATTGTTTCTTTATCTAAACAGACCCTACTTTTTATTTACTTACTCTTTATTATCTTGCAAACCTATCCAACAACACCTACAAAGTACTTTTAGTTTCATACTTGTTCTAGGTAAAGCGAACGTCAAGCGTGCGTAGAGTTGTATCGGTGGTCGATAGAACTTGAGGGAATATTTGTTCTACCTTTAGCTCCTCGTTGGGTTCGACACTCTTACTTATCGAAAACTGTTGCGATCCCCTATACTTGTGGGTTATCAGGCCACCTCCAAGGACAAGAAGAGGGAGGAGGAAGAGAATTTCCTTGTGAAGCTCATCAACCCCTACTTCCTCTCCGTTTAGGCTCAACCTAGGTCCACCATGGAGGAGGGTAACTGCATATCAGGGACGTGGAAGTCCGAAAGAAAGAGGAAGATCTCAAAGCAAGGTTGGAGACCCCAGAGGAAACTATTGCCGGGTATGAAGGTGTGATATTTGAAAATCTTGATGCACATCATATTGTGACAACAAAAATCAAGGCTAAGGTTGAGGAGGTGGAGAAGGAGAAGTTGCAACTTCGTTGGGAAGTGGGGTCTTTGGAGGAGTTGCTTCAGTTTTCCCAGAGTGGGATATGTGAGATGCGAAAAATGCGAAAACTACTTCATGAGTATGAGTGCATGTTTAGGAAGATGCTTTGAGTCAGCCTTGTATGGTTTGCCAGATGCCAAATAATAATCATCTGCCAAAGAATTGAAAAGTGGTAATAGGCATTCCTCCTTCCTTGCTTCTATCAAACCTTGGGAGAGGTTGCCAGGTATCTCACCTCACATCTTTAGGTTATGCATTATGGTTAGTGTTTTAGTGGATTATCGATCTTTTGAAGTTAGGTTGCAAAGTGAGCTATCGCTCCTTCAGAGTGATTGTTGATGTATCTAGTGATACGAGGTTATATGTAATAAAGAGAGGGCTCAAGTTTTCCTTTTTCTTTTGTTATTATACGTTCTAGCATTGCCGCACACCTCATAAAATATATGTTGTGGGAGGACATGACTTTACTGACACTAAGAATTGGAATATGGATGCTAACTTGGTGAATAAAACTATACCTGGTCTTATAATGGATTCATGAAACTCAGTACAAAAAGAAAGGATGTGCATATGCAAATATATTATCTCCAAAATCTTTGGATCAATAACTAATCTTCAATTTGCAAACTCCAGTGAACTATCTATTATAGTTAGGCATGGAAAACAACTATGTGATCATAGGTTGAACCTTTCTAGCCAAAACTATATGTACTAATAAGCATGAAGTATGCTTGTGCATCCATAACCTGAGCCAAGTCGGTCCTGCAAGTGTTCATTGTACCTACCTGTGTGACTGAGTAAGGCCACTCCAAGTAAATTTCCATCCTCACACGCAACAAACTACCAACTAAAAACTTCTCTGTTTGAGTTTTTGTTGTGCGGGAATGATAATTTTCCGCGAACTTGTGATGGGGGCACCATCACAAGGGGAAATGGGGAAATTATCGTTTCAACGGACTAAACTCTTGAATGTCCAACATTAAGCGCTTGGCAATCCACATGCTTTCCTCCGGGAAGGGCATTTTGTACTTCTATGTTGAGTCAATCCTTTCTTGAAACCTATTCTTTTAGGGTAAGCTTTGCTTGTTGGAGTAAGACCCATGCTCGATGGTTACTATGACCATATGTGTAGCTTGTTTACTGAAGTTGAAATAAACCTCAAGATTCATGTGAATAGCCAAAGCAAATAAATTTGCTATAAACTTTGATCTTCTCATGCATGGCTATAATTTTGCAGTCTAAAAAATTACTCACTTGAATGATAGTCCTTATTATTGAAAAAAATATAAAAAGATAGTTGAGCATATGTCACTTCTTATTTAAAGCACTATAATAGACCTTTCTTGAAGAATTAAGATGAAAAAATCATTACATGATCTGAGTATGGTCAAACATCTTGCATAACATCCAAACTTAGAGTATCTAGTGCTTGGTAAAATTGTCATGGCCTCCACATGTGCTTCTATTTTGAGTGTTGTTGTGTTATTATGTGTAAAATACTTTCGCAAAGTATGATTATTGCATGCCTGTATTATTTTATTACTGGCCTCTCACTTTTGCTCGAGGACAAGAAAGGTCTAAGTTCGGTAGAGCTGGTACGTGCATTTTGCATCACATTTTCATAGGATAAATACTCTACTTTTATGTCATTTCAATTATTAGCGATTAGCAAGCAAGTTGAAGTGATAGTCACAAAAAATATCTGAGATGTACGGTTTAAACAAGGATAAAATTAGTGTAAAAGCCAGTCATCAACACCCCCGAGGTTAAACCTCGATGGTTCTCGATCAAGCAACATTGAACTCGACATTTAAACCGAAATAACGAGAAGATTTTGGTTCACTTACGATTGTAATGCCTAGATCGTAAGCAAGGTCTAAGCTTAGAGGAGCTGATGTGTGCATTTTGCATCACATTTTCAGAAGATAAATACTCTACTTTTATGCCATTTCAATTATTACTGATTAGTGGGCAAGTTGAAGTGATAATCGTAGAAAATATCTGAGATGTCCAATTTAAACAAGGATAAAAATGAGAGTAAAAATCATTCATCACCATTCCCAAGGTTAAACCTCGAGCGTTCTCGAGAGCAACGTTGATGATAAGGAACTCGACGTTTAAACCGAAATAACAAAAAGATATTGGTTCACTTACAATCAATAAGGCCTAGATATCTGAGATGTCCAATTTAAACAAGGATAAAAATGAGTGTAAAAACCACTCATCACCATTTCCAAGGTTAAACCTCGATCGATCTAGAGAGCAACATTGATGATAAGGAACTCGACGTTTAAATCAAAATACCAAAAAGATATTGGTTCACTTAATAACGCCTAGATATCTAAGACGTCCAATTTAAACAACGATAAAAAATGAGTGTAAAAAGCACTCATCACCATTCCCAAGTTTAAACCTCAATCGTTCTCGAGAGCAACATTGATGATAAGGAACTCGACATTTAAACCGAAATAACAAAAAGATATTGGTTCATTTACGATCAATAACACCTAGATAGTCTGTCGCTTCTTTCACCTGAAAACTTAGCATGGCTAGACCAGCGGCAAGGTTATTATGCAAGCTTTGTTAGGCCAAGATGGTTAGAACAAAGTGTTCATTATAGAAGCATGAATAAAATAGTAAATTAGCTATCATTTTATTTCATCTACCTAACACTTCCTTGTCGGAAACAGTTGAAATAACTTGGTATGAAAAACTTATATTAGGAGCATGAGAGCATGTCAAAGAAAAAACATAGCGTTCGAGTATCTCATTAACACCTACAAGTATCGTTAGATCAAGACTCTTCAAGGCATGGTCAATGCATTTGTTCCAGGGTGATGCCTCGCATGCCATGTAGGATCATGTGTCAGGAGAAGTAGGTTCGGATGGGGAAGCAGGATCCTCTGCAAGAGGCGGGTGCTTGGAGAGAAAAAGTGTGATCTGATGTAAAAAGCTGAAAAAAATTGAAGTGGAGAATAGAGATGTATGTGTGTACTAGTCTTTATTTTCTATTCTTTGATGATGCCCACTAGTGGCAGCGGCATTGAGAAGAGAAAAAATCAATGTAAATACCCTCAAACTACTTTTTCTCATGAGGCATATGTACCCACCATAGTTAATGCCCTCAGTGCCGCTTCTTTCATTATTTGTCTGAAACTTTCTATCTCGGTAACGACCAAGACCATGTCAAAAAAATGATATATGCAAACTGAGGATTTGTCAGGCCGGCAAACTCATCCACATTGGACCAGATCAGGTCTTTTAAGCGATAGCATACCTGTCAAAGCCATGACAGCAGACAGAATCATCCCAATTGGCGCCAACCTGTGAGATTCCAAATACCTAATAAACTAGCAACAGATGCAAATCATGCCATCACATTCAAATGGTCCCGTTCTCCCCCTCGCATCTTGCTGGAAGAAAAGAGAAGAGATTCCACTTTTTACAGGAATGTCTCGTACGGCACTAAGCGAGGCAGCAAAGCGTAATCATGTACCACCATGCGGCTGCTAAAGCCTGAGCAATAGAATTCTTTGCCATGAACATTCCAGCACATCGGACCAAGAAAGGAAGGCATCAGATCAGATCAGGTAGGGTTCATCATAGAACCCACCGTCAAAAAGCCGATTGTGCAAAGGCCACACTACACAGCAGATCACTCACCATTTCAAACAGATTACGATGGAAAGCTAAATAGCAGAGCATTTGGGTGTAGGGGCCAGATGAACCGGACAAGAAATGAGCAAGAGAATCCATTCATGTGACAACACCATGTAGGATCAAGAGACTTCATATTATTCATTTAACAAGATTGAGGTGACACATGACAAAATCAGAACACCATCCGTATTTCTCTAGTAGCCTCACCAGGCATCTGATTAAATTTGATTGAATAAACCGAACATATGTGTCCAAAATCACAAGTGAGAAGCACAAGTAGGAATAGATATTACAGTCTTTGAATAGGAGAAAACGGTAACCGATAGGCCAGCCGAAAACTTTGTCCACGCTAACAAAGAAACAGCAACAAAATAGAGAGACGAAGCAGGAGGGTCGCGATAAAGGCCCTCTTGGCTTTCTTTCTTGGGTCCGAAGAATTAGAAGCATTTCCTGTGCACAATGGATGGGCCAGACTCGTCGTACTCAGCCTTTGCAATCCACATCTGCAAGCGCAACAACAAGCAACACTGTAAGCAAAGCAACCAAAATCCATGAATGAAATGAATGAAGTACGATGCTGCAATGTTTATATACCTGCTGGAAGGTGCTGAGAGATGCCAAGATGGATCCTCCAATCCAGACACTGTACTTCCTTTCAGGAGGAGCAACAACCTTGATCTTCATGCTGCTAGGAGCCAAGGCAGTGATCTCCTTGCTCATCCTATCAGCGATTCCAGTGAACATAGTGGTACCACCACTAAGAACAATGTTGCCGTACAGATCCTTCCTAATATCCACGTCGCACTTCATGATGGAGTTGTAGGTAGTCTCATGAATACCTGCAGCTTCCATCCCAATGAAGGATGGCTGGAAGAGAACCTCAGGACAACGGAAACGCTCAGAACCAATGGTGATAACCTGCCCATCAGGCAGCTCATAGCTCTTCTCCACAGAAGAGCTGGTCTTGGAAGTCTCCATTTCCTGGTCATAGTCCAGGGCAATGTAGGACAGCTTCTCCTTCACGTCCCTCACAATTTCCCGCTCAGCGGTGGTGGTGAATGAGTAACCACGCTCAGTCAGGATCTTCATGAGGTGATCGGTGAGATCACGCCCAGCCAAGTCGAGACGAAGGATAGCATGGGGGAGAGCATATCCTTCGTAGATGGGGACAGTGTGGCTGACACCATCTCCAGAGTCCAGCACGATACCTGACAAGTTCAAGAGGGCACATTTGAGTTATTGATAAATGAAAAAAATACTTGTTACATTGACAGTGTACGAGGTGATGACAATTAACTGCCTATCAGGTTTGGTTGACAAATATTAACCAGATGTCACAGAACAAAACTAGTGCTACCACAAAACGATTTGAGAAATTTTACAGATTAACCTCATCTACATGTGAGCATGCTAAATTCCAGGGTTCCTGATTCAAAAGACCAGAGTTGGATATAGATGAGCTCACCTGTGGTACGACCACTGGCGTACAGCGAGAGGACGGCCTGGATGGCGACGTACATAGCAGGAGTGTTGAAGGTCTCGAACATGATCTGTGTCATCTTCTCACGATTGGCCTTGGGGTTGAGCGGCGCCTCAGTGAGAAGGACAGGGTGCTCCTCTGGGGCGACACGGAGCTCGTTGTAGAAGGTGTGATGCCAGATCTTCTCCATGTCGTCCCAGTTGCTGACGATACCGTGCTCGATGGGGTACTTGAGAGTCAAGATACCCCTCTTGGACTGCGCCTCGTCACCAACGTAGGCGTCCTTCTGCCCCATCCCGACCATGACACCGGTGTGGCGTGGGCGGCCCACGATGCTGGGGAAGACGGCCCTGGGAGCATCATCTCCAGCGAACCCAGCCTGCAAACATCACCACCACGAGTGTTATGTTACAACGAGCACTGCGGCATTTCCCTGAACCAAAGATGCAAGACGCTTGCACAATGCGGTGGCTTACCTTGACCATACCGGTACCATTGTCGCAGACGAGGGGCTGGATGTCCTCGGCGTCGGCCATTTTCTACCTACAGCAAAAGCTCGCACAAAGCTACAGTTATTGCACATTGATCGATCGATCAATCAAAGGAGAATCTACGCAATCTAGCAGTGAAGGGTGCCGGGTAAATAAATGCAGAGATTAAAATATTTTTTCTCCGTCGAAGAAACAGTGCGAAAATTCTTTCTAGCAGCATGATGGGACTATCAATCAATTCACGAGGAACCCTGTAACTCCGCAACTTAATACTACTATAAGAACAATTAATAACGAAACAGAGAGAGAATGGTTCTCCGGCGCCGCGGCGCAGATCGGGGCGCTCCGGCGCCCGAAACGGCCCAGATCGCGGGCCGCAGCAGATCTGCATTCCCGCGGCGGCATGAATGAACAGCAGAAAAATACAGGGGGGCGCTCCCATTCCGC